GCTCAGTGGCTTTCCATGTCAGCCTCACCTTGCGTTGGTCTCCTGCCGTGTTCTGCTGATCGTGAGGAAGGAGTAAGGCTGTCGTTGCACAATGGGTCAGGGCAGAATGCGTGTGAACCCAGTGACTCACTTGGGTTTCCTTTGGCACTTCTTTCCCCACTTGTGACTGTAAATGGACAGGTGCAGTGACTTCATTCTGACAAGGGCATGTGTCTATTTGAGCTGCTATAACAAAACGCCAGCGACCGGGTGGCTCAAACAGCAAACATTCATGTCTCACAGTTCTGGAGTCCACGATCAGCATTCCGGCAGGCTTGGTGTCTGGTGAGGGTCTGCTTCCTGGTTTTCAGATGCCTGCCTTCCTGCTATGTCCTCGTGTGGGTGAGAGAACGAGAGCTCTGGTCTCCCCTTTTTCTTATAAGAACATTAACCCCATTACGAGGGCCTCACCCTTATGACTCTCTCTAAACCGAATGACCTCCCAAAGCCCTCACCTCCAAATACTCTTGTACTAGGGGTTAGGGCCTCAACCCCTCATTTTGGGGGGACACAAACATTGAGTCCATAGCAGCGTGATGACCAGGGCTCGGGCCCCTTGGCCATGAGGATCTGGATCACGCCAACTGGAATGATGAGAGACACCTAGACAGGTAATGGAGAAAGGAGGAAATGAGTGTCCGTTGTCTCTTAGGCCAATTGCCCCAGTGGGGGCTGAAGTTTGCCCCACTCACTCTGGTCCGCTAAGTTTTCCCTCAGGAAGAGGGGCCCAGCGGACTCCCAGAGGAGCGGCGCATGCATACGCATGGAGAAGCGGATGGGAGTGAGGCAAGGGGTGGACCGGGGTAGACACAGAGATGACTCACTCAGTCTCTCTTCAAGGAAGGGCATGCATTGACCTGCGAGGAGGGCGGTCAGCAGACGGCCTCCAGCCCCTGCTGAAGTGTCACCCTTTTCTGAGGTCACGCCCTTCCGGTGGGGGTGCAGAGGTCTGGACATCTCTGTCCAATGGGGCACAGCTCTGATGAGCAGTCCTTGCCCAGAGCTGCCTGCTGAGGCTTGCTTGGGCCTAGGTCACAATCTGGCTTCTCTCTTTGCTCAGTCTTCTTTCCTGTCTGTCCTTTTAACTTGATGCCAATCCCTAATAAGCACCTTGACTCATGTTTGTCTCAGCATCAATTTCCAGAGGCTTCAGCCTGCTACAGGCAAAATGCTTTGAAGGCAAAGGTGGGACTTACAAGCTAGGTAATTTGAAGCACGCTATTTCACTCTCTGGAACCTCCATTTCCACATCAGTAAAACGGAGGTGACGATGTTTGCTTCTCAGAGTTGTGTGAGGCTTAAATGAGATTGAGTGTGTAAATCTCCTGGCACGGTGGTCGGCATATAACAGTGCACAATGTTTAAAAGGGGAGCACCCACAGAAATGGACAGTTCCCCATGCTGACACAGCTTTGTGAGTTCTGTGTTGAGGAGGGAGAGCTGAGTTCTGTTTTCTGGCCACTTTGTTGATGATAATAATGGCTAATTCTTACAGAGCATGAACTGTGAGCCAGGCACGTAAATGTCTCACACGTATTAACTTATTTAACTTCACACAACGACCTGGTGAGGAAGGTACTGTTCTTAGTCCCATTTTATAGATGAGGAAACTGAGGCACAGAGAAGTTCATAGGTTGGTCTCAGGTCCCAAAGGCTGGAAGTGGGAGAACCGGGCTTCAAACCCAGGAACCTGGCACGAGCAGCTGTGCGCTTGCCCGCTAGAAGACACCGCCTCTTGGCTGAACCTGATGCAGAATAAGGCAACCCTGCATCTAACCTCCCTCTTCCTCAGGGCATCCTTCCAGAACTAAGTTTTTAAAATAGGAAAGATGGAGAGGATGAGGAGGATGCCATCTGCCTGCCGCTGGGCCCAGGGTCATTCATGCTTTCTGAAGCCTTGGGGGCGGAGACTCCGACATCTGCGTCCCCGGGGCTCAGGCCCCGGCCAGCGGGAACCTCCCCCGCAACGGCGACAGGTGTGAGGGTGGGGGCGGGACTGATACATGGACGACGGGGGCTTCCTTGCAAGATTTTGCGTATTTACAGATAATTAACTCAGCTTTTCAACATGTCTTTATTTGCTTAAATTAACAAAATATAGGTTACATGTTCTTTTCAGGTAAATTGCTTTTTCACTGAATCAGAAAGCAATATTCACAACTTGGGCTGCTATACACCTGGAGTTTTAATTTTTAAATGGCAAGCCAGAATTCTGTACAAAATCAACATTTGGTGTAATGTTGTCCAAATATGTAGAGGATTTTAAATGTTAACTCCGTTATATTTTGTTCCAGCAAAGCAAAGATCATGATTCAAAACACTCTGTTAATATTTTATTAAATGCCTTCCGGGCTTAATAAATATATATGCACATTGAGGAAGATATTCAAATACAAATACACCAGCTACCCTTGTGGGGTCATGAAAGGTCAGCCTCAGTCTCATGGCCAATGGGGAATCAAATTTTTTTTTTAAAGAAAGAATAAAAGAATTGAAAGGCAATACAAGGGGATTGTCATGGGCCTAAATTGAAAGGATAAAGAAAAACATGCTGCTTGGCTGGTAGGTTGGCTGGTTCAATGTGACAGTGCTCAAAAGCCTGAAAATCATGTGGTAGTGACCTGCTTTCAGGGTGTCACGCTGTGACTGCTGTCATGCTGTCCCGGCCCTAGAGTACTGGTAGCCTTGGATGGGCTCCCTTAGTTCCCTGGGGGTGGCCGCAGAGGCTCTCCTTCCAGTTTTCATTCAGGTGAATGATCTCATTAGGCAGGGCTGGCCAAGCCTTCCCTGAGCTCTACATTTATGCATAGCTGTCCATACAACTTAGTACCCAAACTGGGACGTGTGGGAGAGTTCAGGTGACACTACTGCTAATTACCCTGGGACAACAGGTATAAACCAGGGTTGTCCCAGGAAAACCAGGATACTGGTCACTCAACACCATACAAAACCAACACTTGAACTTTGGTTCTCAGAAGGTCACTGTATACTAACCATGGGGTTAGAGTTAATTAGATATCTCATCCCCAGAGTTAAGAACTATAAACAGGCTTTAGAACAAACCCCTTAACAACTTTTTATTACTTGCCCTGGACCTTTTTCTCCAAATGCAATTTTACCCAGAAGGCTCACATATAAAACAGATGAGATTGGAGCCACTCTGAGTGACAGGGGCATGAGGGCTGAGAGTGCCCCCTTCTCTCCTCGCAGCACTGGAAGGGCCCTGGAGTGACCCCGGCTCCTCGATAGACAACTTGAAAACCACTCTTCTAGAACGTACTCTCTCCGCCTCAACATTAACTTGTTCCTCAAACATTCCCACATGAGCCGTTTTGGTTGGAAGGGACTTGAGCTTGCTATTCTAGATTTCCTGGCTCCTTTTCTAGCTGGCCAGACCCAGAATGAACTGGAAAGCTGCAGGCCATATAGTAGGTCCTCAACATATAACTGCTGAAAGAATGAATGCGTCAAAGGACCCTAAGAGCTGGGGGCCTCACAGACCACGCGGTCAGCTTCCTGGGTGATTTCATCAGGGCATTGATGAGCTATATTAATAGTTCATGGAAAGCAGGTTCTAGGCTGAGAGTTGTGTTTGTAATTGCAGAAACCACAATATTCCCCTCACCCTCCCTTTCGAGTGCGGTGGCAATCGAAAACCCAAGCAGCTTTGGCACTTTGTGGTGGTGAGGCTGAAGGAAGGAGCTTTAAGCACAGTGGCAGGAGAAATGTACCAGGAAATGACAAAGCAGCCGAGTGAGTGATGAGAACTGGGCGAAGCTAATGGGGAAGCACCTTGGCCAAGAGAAAAGGCCAGCGTCCAGCATTCAGAGGTGACCCAGATCTTCCAACGAAATGTACTGGGGACTTTGGGAGCCGAGGAAGCAAAATAATAAACGGTACCTAACACTACAAATCAGAGTTGAAGCTACCAACCTAAAGGCAGTTTTTACATAAACACAGACACAGTACCAGAGGGTTTCTGCTTATGGTCAGTCACATGTATGTGACATCCTGTCAGTACTGCTTAACTCAGTGCCTGTGCCTGAGGGAAGCCTACCTGCTGGGCTCAACCCACCCATTATAATCATCATCACTGGCTGGAATCATGATTCAAGTGTCTGGGAAGGAACAATTAGTCACCATGAGCTGGTTACGTATTTTGAGACATATTAAGTGACCATAAACATCACAGGCATCATCTTGTAATAAAGACAGTGTGTGTTTATAATGTGTGTGTGTGTGTGCATGTGTGTGCACATCCCCTTGTGGGGCTCTTGCAGAACAGGTAACAAGCCTAAGTCAACGTTATGATTTCGAGGTCTCCTGCTCTCCATCTTAATGAGTCTGAAGCCAGACACGGAAATATTATGGAGACCCTGGGAAGGATCCTGGGAGACACTGTCTTAGCCCAGTCAGTGTTTTTCAACCCTGGCTGCACATAAGAACCATGTGGTGATTCAGAAACGTAACCAATGCTGGCCTCCACTCTAGACAAAGTCAATCAGAATCTTAGAGGGTGAGGTCTCAGTATGGGTGTTTCTAAAAAGGCTCCCTGAGCTGATTCTAATGTGCAGGCACTTGGAGAAGCCAGCTCAGATTCTCCGTAACTAGCGAGTAGCTGCTGGTTATTCTAATACTCCAAATAAGTCAGATCTTAGGTTTCAGAGAGAAGTTGTCCCCTGCTCCCCCTGCTCCAGCCCTGAGAAAAAACCAACTCTTATTTTTGGGACACGAAGCCTCCGAGCCAGGTCCCCAGGAAGGAGCTTTGCTCAGGACACTAGGCGCGAGCACTGTTGGGCCATCTGAAAATATGCTCCTGATGCCGCACCTAGTGAAGGTAGCAGAGCAGAGCAAGGCAGGTCCAGGCAGAATTCTAAGTGTGGCTGGGCTTTCCTGAGTCAAAATTATTTATTTTATGTTGAAGTTTTGTCTTATTTCTGCAGTCTGTGTGAGAACACCCTTTTCAATAACTCACCCTCCTGTGTCATTTCTGGTATTTTTTATTTTTTTAATAAAGGCAATTTTTATATATACAATTACTCATATTTTCATCTATCTGAAAAATATTATAACTTTCACACATTCAACTAAATAGTCATTAATAAGGTAACATGTCAAGCACCATATTTTTGCAGCTCTAAAGAAATTTACCATGTATTGTATATTAGTCAAGGAAAAATAGAGCTTCTATACTCTGTCAGCATCAGCTTACAACTAGATATCTATATGTACAGCTTATTATATTGGAGGTGCATAAAATAACACTGAAGAAGACCCTGCCTGTGTGTTATAAAAATCAAGGGCCCGGGAATGACCTGAGAAGCATTCACATCACTGAGGACGGAGGGTCCCTGATCATTTAGTCTGAACCCTTTGTGAAGCTGCGCGCCATGCGCCAGTCTCCAGCAAATGACAGTTCGTGCACAAAGCTATATTTGAACAGCCTACTTCTCATTTCCCAAATGGAATTCTAAAACTGTCCACTTAGATACCTAAAAGCACTGCTTGTTTTTCCATTTTCCTCTCCAGTAATTCTTTTAAACTCTCATCTCTGTGCTTGAAGTACAAGTAATCAGAGAAGGAGGCACCCCGCCGGGAGCTCTGCAGTGCCCTGAGGCGGGGACACTCATCTCTGCGGGTGCCATCTCTCTCCTGGCCACCCTCCGCCCCAAGGCTGCCCTTGCTCTTCTCCGGGCGGTCTTCTTTCTGCACGTCGTCCTCCTCCTTCTCCTCCTCCTCCTCCTCCTCCTTCTCCTCCTCCTCCTCCCTCTCCTCCTCACAGGCTTCCCGGAGTGCCCTGGTGGGCGGCTGGGGCTTGGTGGAGAGATCCTGGGGCACGCAGAGCTGCCTGCTCTGGGGGGCCAGGCCCGGGCTGTCCGGTTCCACCTCGTAGCAGTTGTCCTCATCCTCCTCTTCGTGGCAGGAGCTGCCCCTGGCGCTGTCCCCATCGGACTGGAATGCCCGGCGCTTCTGGGACAGGTCGAAGGGCTCCTCTTGCTCCAGACTCCTCAGGACTCCTGTGGTCTGGGTCAGGGCAATTCTTCCCCTTCCAAAACCTGCGAGAGCAAAGGCAGTGGTCAGGCCCCAGGAAGAGCCTTTGAAAACGGGTGGTTGCGTGATACCCAGGGTCCTTTAGTGCAGCTGGATTTCACATTTTAAAAATAGATTGACTCCCAGAAAGGATGTGGAGATGGGCTTGTCTCAGATGGAGTCTGCACGGGTCTAACCCCCTTAAGGTGAATTTGGCAACATGCGCTAAAAACTTAAAATAAACCTAGCTCTGACTTAGCAATTACACTACTGAGAATTTAAACTGTGAAAATTGTCAGGTGCACAAAATCTGTGTGTAAGGATGTTCATCACCACAATTTTTATAATGAAACTGTGACAGGTTTGTTTAAATAAACACTAGTACATCCATACAATGAACTAAATGTGGAAGATGTAGAGACCTAATGATCATAAAAAAGTATTCTCTATATATTTTAAGCAAAAACATATTTATTACACATATTTATAGTGTAGACCCAATTCATTCATTCTGTCTTCTCTTTTTCAAAGAATGAAAAATATATGTCAAGAATCTCATAAATGAGGTAATTTTGACATTTTTCTTTTTATGTCTGATGTACTTATTTTATTCTTTTCAGTGAGCCTATATTTTACTATAAGAAAAAGTAAAACAATAATAAAGGTATTTTCATCTTAAAAAAAGGAAAGACCGTCTCTTACCCCTCCTCTCTGCCACGGCACGTAGCGCACTGTGTTGGACAGAGTCACTTACTGCCTGTTTATGGAAGGACTGCCTGATTAGGTGACTAAGGAGCTACCTGCCAAATTTAGTAGATCTGGAACATGAACTTCTCACTCCGGAGGACCCTGGGACTGAGAAAATAAATGAGGCGAGAACTTTCCATCCGTGCAGCCAGGACCCAGGGAGGGAGACGCAGGCCCCTGTTCTGGGTACAGGCCGATCAGGCCCACCAAACAGGAAAATCGTCCTTGCTTGAGATACCTGGCCTTGAACAGGTGAGAGGAGGCCCAGCCTGCTAAGATCACACTTCTGCCAACAAGACAGCCTGCAGGCCTGTTTTTCCAAAGGGAAAGGAAAGTTTGCATGACCTTAAACAGCTGTGCAATGAAGTGGATATTATACAGGCTTTAGAGTCAGAAAGGTCTGTGTTCAAATTCTGACTCTGCCACTTTTTGGTGGAGCAACTTTGGGCAAATTACTGTCTTGAAGCCTTAGTTGCCCCATCTGTGAAACATAACAGGGCTCCTCCAGCCTGAAGCCGCTGTGCAGATCCAAGGAGACACGGCACCTGACGCAGAGTCCGGAACAAAAAACTAACAAAGGTATGGACTGGCATCATTACAATGTTCCAGTTTACTTTGTGGGATTCACTTTTACCTGTTGCTTCAGATCTTAGCATTTTATTTGTTATAGTAACATAGTGTGCACCTGCTACCCTGCTATAGCCTTAAAGATTACTCACTTTTTTGACCAACCCTAAGAATAAAGTAAAGGCGCCTGTCAACAAGACCACCTCTCATTTGTTACCCGCTGGCCTCAGCAGGCTTGGGAGCTTCATGGTAGAATGATTACCTTGAGAATGGAGGCCTCGCTCCATGACCCCGTGTTTGACTTTCATGTGGCGTGTCAGGTTCCCCTTCAGGGTGAATTTGCTGGGGCAATAGAGGCACTTGAAGGGTTTGCTGTCAGAGTGCAGGTGCATGTGGCCCATTAGGTTGTGCATTCGGTTGAATTCCTTCCCACACAGCTGCCGGAGACAGTGACAAGGAGAACACAGTTACTCACAGGCAGGGGTCCCTGCCCATGTGAACCCACACCCGGGCCCTCGTGAGGCTCTTTGTTTGGATCTGGGCATCTTAAGCTGCTTCCAAAGAAAATGTCCCCATGGAAGTCAAGGAGGGGCTGGATTGTGCCCAGGCTCAGGGGTGGAGCAGGAAGGGAAGGATTTGTGAGATTTTGGTCCTGTGTCACAGTATTTTTAAACTCCATATAAAAATTACAAAGCTATTCAAACTTCTTTTGAACCTTTTCAAGAAGAGACAAGCTGATCCAAAAAGCAATTCTCAAAGTGTGCTTCACTTGAATAATAAGGACATAACTACTTGTTTAATATGTATGGAACATTTATAATACAGAAGGCACGGTCCTAAGCCTGCTGTGGACTATCTCACTTAATTCTGACATCCATCCTACGAGATGGGTGCTATTGTCACCCCATTTTACAGATGGACAGACTGAGGGATTAGGCTGAAGGGACTGGCCAAGGCACATAACTGGCGGGTACTGGAGCTGTACAGAAGAAACTCGGGTCATCAGCCACCAGAGGATGCGCGCTCAACCACCACATCATGCTGCAGCCCCCCAACAATCCCTTTTGTTAGACTATATCAGACAATACTTTCCTAATTTTTAAATTTGCTAATTGTTGGGATGAATTTCAAAGTCAAAAGGAAGAAGAAGGTATGTCAAGGAACGACTGTGTCTTTTCTTTGGTTAGAAATTTGAAGTATTGGAAATGTTATCTCAGGTATACAAAAAGTAAACAGGTTTTTATTCATTTTTTTCTTTGTCATTTCTCTTGATTTCTATAAAGTGCAAACACATGATGGGCCACAGCAGTGGTTCTCTAACTTCCTTCAGAAGAGAGACTGTTTTTCCAAAGGCCCTTGTTTGCAGATGGGGACAGCGTGAAGCAGAAGCTGCTGCTCCAGGGTGCTTTTCTTGCTCTTCTTGTCCCCACACCTTAGCAGAGCAGGGTTGGAGACTCCAGCCCTGCCTTGGCTGGGCTGGAAGGAATGCAAAGAAGGATTCCTGTGTCTGCACTTGGACCAGAGTGTTAAAGGAGAGAGGAACATTTTTCTTCCCTCCGGAGCCTCAGAAGCCCATGGCCGGAGGGCAGCGACAGGCTGAGGGAGGACACAGAGAGACTTGGGGTGCAGCACCCTCTGAAGCTGACATCAGTTTTCCTTTCTCACGGAGAGGTATTTTCAGGGCCAATGGTGGGGATTGCAGGTTCATTTTGTTTTTTTTATTAGTGAAGGCAACGTTTTCCTCAGCTGGCTGTGGAGGTTTGAGCTGAGCTGGCCTGGGAAGAAGGAGTTGACCTAACAAATGGCGATGTTAAAAGATTAGCCCAAAAGAATGCTGGGTGGTATGAGGAAGCCAGCCTGGGATTACAAATTTGTCACAGATAATCCACATATACAGGGTCTAGCAGAAGTAACGCCTGCTATAGTGTGGTTGGTAAGGTAATAATATGGGTATAATAATTTATAGTTTTAATTTGACATTTCACCTAAAATGTCTTATAGTGTGCTTGAGTGTGATATTGTTATGTTACAGAATTACATGCTTATGATTTTGTAATTAAAAAGGGGTGTTATTTGTGTTGGACTCTGTAGATAATGAGTGGTTCGTGGTGTACTTTCAAATGATTCACCTTTGGGAGTTTTAAACACTTTTTCCCTTTTTACTTCCTCATGAGCAAGCATGAATTCAGCATACTGGTGCCCCATGCTCAGTGTTCAGAGAATCTGCACACCATATTCATTTGGAGATGTGGACCCAAGGAGGGAAAGGCTGAGAAGTTAATCTAATTTCAACGTCCTTGGGAGCCCTACATGTGGGATGGATACTTGTTTTCTTTTATTTTCAACAGAGACAATTTATTAAGATATCATCAACTCTGGCTTAGTTTTACACATGTGTGCAAGTTCTGGCAACTTTTTAGCTTAATTTATGCAGTTCTCCATTCAGGCTAAAGAAAAAAAGCTTTGAATCTAAAGATTCTGCATTAGATATTTCCAGTAGTGGGTCCCTATAGAAAAAAATATATTTCACTTGCTTCCTGCTTATTTGGATCGAGGCTACAGCAGCAGATCTGAAAATAACAAAATCCAGTTCCTTCTCCCCCCCCCCCCCGCCCCCCACCACAACAAGACACGTAGGGAGACAGGAGCTGGAGCCTGGAAGGTTAGGCTACTGCACCAATCCAAGCCTAAATGGATTTCACGGTCCTACAGGCCAACAGAGAGGTATTAGAAGCTGGACTAGTCAAAAAAGGTTTTATAAAGGAGACGGAATTTTAGCCTAACCTTGTGTGTAGAGTGCCCTTTGTTTTGTTTTGACACAAGAATAAAGTATTTCCATTAAACACATTTGGATACCGCATTCCATCCTAAAGTACAGGCAAGGTAACTGTCGCTGTCGTGATCATGATCAGCTGCTACTGCTGCAACTTTGGGGTCAGAGCAGATGCTATAATTCACCGGCCCCGAGGTCCCACCTCCCCTTCCCCCTCACCCCTCTCCCCACCTCACACACACAGGTGTGCACACCTCACAATGGGTACCGCTGGGCAATTTCCAGAATGATCCTCAGCCTTAGATGAGCGATGTTTAGATGATCCTTTATCATAGCCCAGTGTGTGTATTTCTATTCTAATGTTTTTCTGGCTCTAATCATTCACTAGTGAACATCCTGGGACATTTCAGTGGAACATGGGGACATTAGGACATTAAAATGATATTGTCCCCTGAAGTCAAGGCCTATGGAAGATCCACTGTGGGACATGACTGGTAAGCTATATTATCTGTTGTGTGATTGGTAAAGGAGAATGATTTCTGTGCTGTTGGTAAAATTTGAGTTTTATATACCAGAGTTATACTTCATGGTTTATGGGGCTAACTGGGCCAGCCAATAGAGAGCTTTCCCAGGGCTGTGGAGGTTTGTCAACTCTGAAAGATGTTTGAGGCACTCAAAGGTGCTGAGATAATCTTCAAAAAGGCCAGGGCTGCCTTCTTTATCCTTGTGGCTAACCTTAGTATCAAGCAAAGGGGTACACACATAGTAATACTTATTAAATATCTAAGTATTTGGTTGGAGGAATATATAAACAAGTCAAGAAAATATCACTACCTCATGCAAAAACTCCAAAAAGCAGCTGTCACCAGCTGTCTTCCTTTCGCCACTTTAGTGTGTATAACCCTATCCACATTAGTTTGTAAACCAAAATCCTTGTTGCAGAAGAATAAACACAATTAACTGAGGCCCCAAGGGTACTTGGGTACCATTCACATCTCAGTGGTTGGCACCTTTAGCTTTTTCATCTCTGCCTCTAACCTTTCCACAAAGCCCTTCGGTTCTTTTCTAGAACACTTGGCCCCTTCATCTTTCTCAGAAGACTGCCCTCACATGACAATACATAAGTGTATGGAGAGAGTTTGTGTCTCTGAAGTTCAGAAAGAGGCCTCTCAGCCACTGTTAGTGAAAAGGGGCCTGAGAAAGAAGCCCCTTGGGTCAACTGAAGATGGTGCCCTAGGTGGGGTTTAAGATATGAGTTCTAAGCACACTCGCTGTAGTAGAGGAGGGGAGTTAGATTGGAGGGAAAAAGAAAGGTTGAGAGGGAGCGCCAAAACTAGTTCTCCTTCCGAGAAAAGCAGCCATCTACGTCAAGGCTCCCTTTAATTGTGACATGTGAGGCTAAGAGCTTGCTCAAATCAGTACTGCTGAATCACCTCCCACCCAGGTTTGCAAAGGTTAAAATACGGGCAGGTACTGGTACAGGAGGCTGCTGGAGTGGTGAGGACTCAGCTCTCGTCCTGCAGGTGGTCCTCTCAACCAGCCCACCTCTGTTGAACTCTCAGTTCCTCTAATGAGGGAGATATTAGTAATCCTGATTTAAATCTCAGCTCTTCCACTAAGACCCACTCTTATGACTATTTTTAAAAGGTAGGTGGACTTCAACATCTGATAGAAAATAGAACACATGTTTTGAAGTGTCCCTTAAGAATCAATTGCATGAGTCATTAGGCTTTGAGATGGCAGAACAAGAGGTGATGTGGAGACCCCGGATAGAGAACAAGCTCCATTTTCTCTTCAGGAAAATGTCGATGATAATCATACTTTCTCATGAAGGTTGTTATAAAGATCAAATGAGATCATTTATGTAAGGGGTTTGGCAAACAGAACTCAATACAGATGAGCTTTTATTACTATCACTGTCATGTACATAGTCAACACTTTTATATTCCAGAAATAGAAAGATCTTCGAAGATGAGGTTCCTGTCTTTTTAAACTAAATTATTTGGAGGTGCTATTGTAGGAAGTGAGGAACCCTTTGGGTAAATACCTGCCAGGTTACTTGAGGTTTAATAGAAATGGAAGCAGCTGTGCCTGATGGAAAGCGAAGGTTTGTCTTAGACTGCAGGGTTTGGGGGACCCCATTATCTGGCTTCCTCATCCTTAGCCCTTTAAACAGCTGGCAGGTGCCCTGTTTCTCATCTTCGTAGGAGTTCCAAATTTCAGCTTCCTGGTGCCTCTTCTTCCCCCGGTCCAGGGTCCAGAGATGCCTCAGGCAACTTCCCATGAGACCCAGTGACAAAGCTGACATCCAGAGTCATTGAGAAGTCGGGTCGGCTGTGTGCAGAGACAGGGTGACGGCAGCAAGCCGCTGCTGGGCTGGGGCCAGAGGCCCACAAAGCCAAGAAGAGCCACACTGCTTTGTGCCAACCAGCCCGGTCTGAGCCTGGGGACTGAGATGCACCAGGAAGCCTGTGTTTTCCTATTCTAAGAGCAAAGGTCAAAGAGCTAAACTGCCTTCCCTTACATTCTCCTCTCCCTCTCCCTCTCCCTCTCCCTCTCTCTCTCTCTCTCTCATTAAGAAGGGTGTTCCTTTCCTCAAAGGGAGAGAGAGGGAGGGAGGGAGAGAGAGACTGTAAACTGTCCAAAAGGGCCGTGAGAAAACAGGAAGCTTTGAAAAGTACAAGAGAAAGCAAGATGAAATCTATTTGCAGGCGGGCCCCTGGGGACATGTGAGGCATTGTTAAGCAGGCAGTTCATACAGCTATATCCTTCCTTCTGCTGAGGAGGGCTTTGCTGCCAAAAGGCTGCTATCTGGTCACTGCCTTAACCCCCTCAATGCCAGCCTGAGAACCTTGGTTTCAAGTACTGAGCCCCTAACACTCCCCACGTGGTTTCTTCCCTATGTGGCATCCAAGAGCTTGGAGGGGAAAATGGGGCCTGTTTGGTAGAGGTGATGGGGGCTCTTTTCAAGGAGACCTCAGCCTCTTCTATCGGCTCTGCCCTTGGCCTTTAGGCCTCTGCTTCAGACCAGGCTGCAGATGACCTGGTGATTCATAACTTAGGCAGCTCCCAGCTTCACCCATCTCAAAGGAGAATTTGTCCCGGAAATTCTGGATGGCTGCTTTTCCTGGACAGGTTTCCCAAAGACGGCAGCTGGTTCTTTGCTCTTATGGAGTGCAGCAGCTACAAGGATAACATCCAAGTGCACCCCTGCGTGCTTACGCACAAACTGGGAAGCATCTTCTGAAACATGGCTTAAGTGCACCGGCGCAGGTCTCTGGAGAAGCTCCAGCTGGCTCCAAAAAGCAAGGAGCCCAGAAGTCAAGCCAATAACAAAACAGCGCAGAGGGGCAGTAATTTTTTTTAATAAGAAAAAAAAAAAGAAACATAAAATGAAAACCTTTCCTCTCCTTGAATTTTCCATTCTATTGTTAATGCTTAATCCCACAGCGAGAGAACTTTGCGGCTTGCTGTGGACAGCTGTTTCCATTGAGCACGGGCAGCAGCCAGAGAGAACCAGGTCATGTTGCAACAGGGGGAGGGGTTTTATTTTAGGAAGGATTTTTAGTGGTGAGAGTACCAAAAAATTAGAATCTGTTACTTAAAGAATCCTTCTCGCCGTCACTTTTTTTTCAAGGTTTGCGGGAAAGGAGACAGAGCTAACAGAGTATGGCTGGAGCAAGGCCTGCCTTTATTTTTTCCAGTCATGCCAATCATGCGTAGGGAACAAGTTGCCCTGTTACTATGATAAAGCCCTGGTTTAGTTGTCTGGGAGTGTTCTCCACCATCACTATGTAGCCTGCCAGCGCTCCTCTCTGATGGATATTGATTGCATAGCAATTACTGAATGACCCTCTGTTCTTCTCCCAACTCCCAAATTCCCAACAAGCTCCACCCAGGACCAGGTTTCCAAAAATCTAGCACAACATGGATGAGAAGCAAAATCCACAGGACATCATCTCGAGATGGCCCACCCACTGTGGCATCTGGAACAGACATGCTCTCAAATTCCTTTGAAATGAAGAGGGTGATAGTAGGAAGAGGGCACCAAGCAGGGTGGCACTTTGCAGGGAGATGGGAACAAATAGAGGAACAACCTGGAACTTTCCTAGAAACAGAGAGCTCTTGATCAAGATGATTGACACCCATTTGTGCTTCTGAAATGTCTAAGAATGGAGAAGGGCTGCTTAAGTTTCATAGAAAGACCCTTTAACACCCAATGCTTTTTGTACTAATGATACATGCACTCTGCTAGGCAACCTCCTGACCCACAGTGTACTCCACTGAGAGAGCCTACCCCCGAGGAAAAAGTGACTCTGAGCATAATCAGTCCAATTCCTGCAGCAGGACCACCTCCCGTTGGAGAGTAAAAACTGTGTATCTTTAAGAGCTGACAGTTTATGCTACAAGCACCTCTCTAATGGTGTGACCAGACATCCAGAACCTAATGCACATCCAAAGAGAGGTCAAACTGAATTTCTGAACCATAAAATTGACCATAAGACACCCTTTGAACCAGGTATGGTACGCTATCATTGAGGTGGAGTGGTGGGGGCAGTTGTTCATGAAGAAAGTCCTGAAACATCAAGCAAGGCTGGTTCACTGCATTACAGGGCCCAGGTTGTACTATATTGTACAACCTTCTATGCACTGAGAGAACCCTCTAAACCCTCAGATACATCTGGGGACAAGAAATCCTCTAGGCATTTCTGAGGCCTTTGATATAGAGAGATAGGACTGTTTCTGTGTTCCCAAATCACACATAGACTGCAAGCCCTTATCCTATATTGGCCTCACCCCCTGACATAGCCCTCCCTTTCAGAGGCGGTTGCTGTCTGGTTTTACCAGTGCTGCTGAACCTGAATTGATGAGGTGAAGGTGGGAGTTGGTTGGAATGGACAGGAGTGAATTTTTAGGGGACTGCTAATTATGCAATGGTTCCCTTCATATTTTAACAACTTTATGTGCTCTCTACCACCAGTTGATAAGATAAAAACATGTAATATGTGCTCAAAATCTAAGAGGAAACTCAACACAAGGAATGAAGAGTGAAAAAGAGTTCCTGTTTGCACCTCCATTGTAGGAGACAGGGATCCCCTGGCAAATGGAAAGAGCTCCATTAAAAATGAAGGGGTCAAAGGGCTCTGTGAAGTGGGTAGGAAATCAAAGAAGTGTCTAGACTTGCGGGGGTGTCCAACCTGCGGGCCACAGGCTGCGTGCAGCCCAAGATGGCTATGATTGCAGCCCAACACAAAATTTTAAATTTACTTAAAACATTATGAGATTTTTTTTTTGTTTTCATTCAGTGTTTGTGTATTTAAGTGTGGCCCAAGACAACCCTTCTTCTTCCAGTGTGTCTCAGAGACACTAACAGGTTGGACACCCCTGGTAGACAGAGAGAGAGAAGAGTTGATCTGTGGTTGTGCATGTGACCTGGGCAGTCGTGCAGGACCCCAAACTCAGAAGGGTGCTGAGCTGGGCATAATGCCATGCATTTACCACCTTAAATTCTTCTTAACATTTGAACAAGGAGGCCTTGCATTTTCTTTTTGTACCTGGTCCTGCATGCAGCTTCCTTCCCGCTTCAACTCAGATGACTCAAGATGGACATAAATTGACTTTCAAACCACTGGAACTTGGAAGAAAGGAGGGGAAACACAAGTGGGTGGCAGGAAAAGGGCTGGAGGGAGAAATCTCCCTCCCCCACCTCCGGAGAATGCCCACACAGGTCTAGGGAAGCTCTGGTTCCTGACCCCTCTCACCCCATCCAGGAGTGGCCAACACAGGAAAGAAGTCAGCTTCACAGGGGGTTCCTTCAAGTGGGGAGAAATGCCGCAGAGGCATTAAGGCAGGCGCAGTCCCTGGAAGCAGGACACCCTGCTTTAGAAACAAGGATAGATGGAGAATCATTTGGACCCCATCAAACATGCAGTAACAGAGAGAAGGCAAACTTCCATTTCAAACAGTAACGCTCTAATGAAATGTGAACATGGTGATTCCCCTCTTCTTCCCCCTCAGCCTTCTCCTCAAGACCTGCATAACACTTGCTGGTACGTTCCTTTAATGAAACTACCCGATTGTAAGCATGATTCCTTTTCATTTTAGAAGTGAAGGGAAACAATGTGGGGTAGGTGTGGGGGACAGCCTGGGAAGCCCAAGCATTTCTGAGTGACACCACCCAGTGCCTTGGGTTTTACAGATCTCCAGTTCACACATTATCTCAGCTGACAAAATAAAAACCCAACCAAGTCAAGGTGACACAGAGATTTTCACAAAGATGCCCCATGGTTCTTAGGAAAAAATGAGAAATGTTTCAGATGACCATGCTCAGTTATTCCTTGGCCCAAGCAAGCATTCCTGAGGTCGTCTGAGGGCTAGCCTCAGAATCTCTGTTGCCCTCTCTAGAAGACCTACCCTCAAGTTACATTATTCAGCCCAAGTATCAGGACAGCAGGAGGGGGGAAGGGGGATGGGAGTGGGGGTAGTCCTTGAAACTTCTCTGACTCCATTCTATATTCTACTTACTGGCTTGTAAGGGGAATAGGGCTACAATGGATTGCTCCTTTTCAGAACAGGAGCTCTCTACATCACCTTCATCCTTTAACAACCTCATTCTCCAAATGGGCCTTCCACCCTCAGACCTTCCCCTCCTGGCTGCCTCCATCCCCTGGGCACTGGTTGCACAGCTGAGGGATGGTGTGAACGTAGGTGTGGCGGAAAGGGGGAAAGGGCAACAGGGGAGCCTGGGGTTGGCCGGGGACTTACTCTGAGTCTCAGTGGCCTCACTGATGAAAATGAGTAGAAGGTTCCCTGGAGACTTTTCCCCATTGGGCATTTGCACACCCCTCAGAGTCCTCTGTTTCCACACTCTCCCAGGGCCCCCTGCCCACCTTGCATTTGAAAGGCTTCACATCAGAGTGGACGATCATGTGTGCCTTGAGGGTCTGTTTCTGGACAAAACTCTTATAGCAGAGGTGACACTGGTAGGCGCGGATGTTGGTGTGGATCAGCACATGTCTCTTCATGTTGGCCAACAGAGTGAACTCCCGGCCGCAAATCCCACACTTGTGCTCCTTCACACCCTGGAGGGGGGCAAGGGTCAAAAACCTGTGGTTAGCAAGTAACAGGCTTTCATCAGGGTTGTCGTCTTTGTCTTTTCTCTGCCATATAAACCTATGAAGAGCTTGCTGATTGATGTTTAGTTCTGAATGGTGTGGCTTTACCTTGTTACATTACTATTTTCTTGAAAAATGATTACATAATCTCCTTTTTTTCTTCTGAAAACATTAAACTACATAAAGTTACAGGAAAAGAAAGCTATTGCTTTTGTTGCTCCTGCTGTTGCCGGAGACAATTCTACAGTGACGGTTCTCGGAGATTAACAGGATTTGGATAAGAGCACTGTGCAATGCTATGCGAAATGAGTCTATAATCTGGCTTTCATGATAACGAAAAAATTAAACCTCAAAAACTGATAATATCATTTCCCTTATGAAAACCAACATTCTCTTGAATTCTCATAAATGGACTTGAAAATCGCAGAAGAACAACTCATATCCACATGTCAATTACAACTTGATAATCATCTCTTGAGATGGGCCCCTGGGTCCCTCCGGCCACAGCGACCTCTGTGGGATTCGAGTACGGAATCCCCTCCAAGCCGGCTTCTGTCTTATAGAGAAATTTGATGGAGGATAGTTTTCTAAATTAGAAAACAAGACCTAAGGAGATTTTCTAGTTTCCTTGCTGTTTGTGGAAAAGTGTTTGAATAACTTAAACATCGATGTCCTCAGTTGAGAGCCCATGGCACTAACACATGAGTTCAGGTCTTTGCCCCGCCACTTACTGGCTGCAAAACCCCAGATAAGCCTTGTGCCTTTCCTGGTGAAGGACTCCTCATCTCAAGATGAAGAAATGAGCCATAAGAAACTGGGGGCTTCTCCCAGCTGGAATGTTCTCTAGTCTAAATTATTGCAGATGAGTATGGATTTATGCTAATGAAAAGATCTCAATTTCATTGCCCTCTTAAGAAAATGAATTTTAAAAATGTGTTGCATATGCAAACCATGAGTTTAAAATTATGAAATTAATGAAAAGTACTTTCTTGATGAGTTGTAAAATTTATTTCAACATCTTTCTTCTCAATATTGTCTCTATACTTGGCTGTGATCCAGTTGTGCTGGGACCAAGGAGCAGTATCTACTTATCACTGTCTTTAGAGAATTCCAACGTAAAACTCACAGGTGGGCTGACCCAGAACCCATGTGAATGGGAGCCTGGACACAACTATGGGGAACACAGGAAGCTGCTGTGTCTCTAAAAGGATCAGTGAAACCAGAGGGAGAGCTGCGGGGGTTGTTAGGGATGAGGGAAGGGAAGTGGGGGAGGGAAGAGAAGCCTTGTCAGTAGTGTTCAAGAGCTCAGGTGCTGGAGTCAGAGATTCTGGGTGACCTCCACATGCCTCGGCGTCTCATTTGCAATTTTCGAGTAATGATACCCGTAAATAGCTCTTAGCATCTTTGAACAGTATTAAATGCAAAGGAAAGCAGCTGGCACATAAGAAGTGTTCAATAAATACTACCTCTTGCTATTTGCTGACATCTTTTATTAAAATGCATTTTGTTTCCTAATTTAAATGAGACTCATTTCAGATACCAGGCTGTTTCCCATTATGACTTCATGTTCTACTATCTTACAGACTTTTTATGTTTCGAAAGACACTTTTGATTCCTTTTCCACACATGTAGGAGCCCCTGAAATCAGCAAATGATCCCCTTGGTGGCTGAACCTCAGTCTGGCTTCTTTGTTGGTGGGTCCTGCACTTGGCAGGCCCCTCCTCTCTGGACACGATCCATAGGTACCATGTGGAGGGGAGGGGGTGTCTGCTGAGCCCACGAGCCAGCCACACAGCCCATCCCTGCAGCAGAGCAAGAAACACCCTGCGTTTTGTCCTAACGTATCAAATGAAACCCACTATGGCAGAACATTAATGGTATCTTAGCTGGGCAAAGCCCTCCACTGACCTTTAAGAACTAAAGAAAGTTTTAGAAACTCTGGCTTGCTGGAAGTCTCTCTTGTCAAGAAAACCACTTGAGGTCAGTGGTTTGAGGGTGAGGGTCAGTGGGGCAAACCTCCCCTCTCAAAAGCTCAAAGCAGCCCCAAGTCAGCTCCGCCGGGTAAGATTTCAGGGGCATCACTGGAAAGTCCCCTGTTTTAGTTCATCCTGGGCTTTGAGTGATACCAGGGCTTTGATTACAAACTAGGCTGAATGAAGACCCATGAGCCTGCATTCCTCCTTGAAGACCTGAGCCCAGGGAAGATAAAACCCAACCAACCAGAGAAGGTGTTCTCTCATGCCTCCTAGATACAAACCACATGCCCCTTGGAGTCAGCTCGGGAGGGGCTCCACCAGGCGAAGCAGAGGCCCTGCTGGACACAGCCTTTGTGTCCCCAGAGCCACCTGCCGATGAAGCAGATCTCCCAGTTGAGTGAGATAAAAGCCAGAAAGGTAGCCCCTGCTTCAGCAGCAAGAGGCAAAGAGAATTCTCTAGAAAAAGACTCTGATTAATATATCTCAGGCACAGAGCTGGTCTTGGGTAGATACAACCCGATGACACACTCCTGCTAGTGCCCTGGATGAAGTTAACAGAAACAGAAAGGTTTCTAGGAAGCTAAGAAGCAAGAGCACAAAGACCAGCTGTTTCCTTCGTCCTTCCCGCCCTCTTCTCGAAATGGCCCACGTTATTTCTAGGCCCATCTGAGACTCCAGAAGGCCAGATGGGAAAGGGCTTGATTGCTAGTCTCCTCTAGCTCTCCCATTTCAAGGTGAGGAGGGATGGCAAGGCTCAGGGACCGGAGGCCTCTCGCCCAAGGTTACGCAGCTCCTCCTGTCAGAAGCGGGAAGAAGCAGGGCAGACCTCCGGGCCCCAGCCCCCAGGGCTCCGCTCATTCTCCCCAGCGCTGGAGGCCCCCGCCCCCGGCCGAGGCTCCCCGCAGTACCTTGTGGGTGAGAGAGTGCTGTTTCAGGTGGTGAGGCTGCACGAACTCCATGCCACACTCGGAGCAGATGTAGGGCCGGATGTCCTTGTGCTTCATCATGTGGTTCTGCAGCTGGCTCGGGTACTGGAAGGTCTTGTCGCACTCGGAGCAGTTGTACTGGATGGGACCGCGGTGCGTGGTGAGGTGCCTCTTCAGCTGGGCCAGGGTGGGGAAGTCGAGGCCACACTCCACGCAGATGTTTTCCCGCCCGCTGGCGTGCTTGGCCTCGTGGGCCTTGAGCTCGCTGGGGTAGGCGAAGCCCCGGCCGCACACGCGGCAGTTGTGCGGCTTCACCTCGCTGTGCTGCATCATGTGGCGCTTCAGGTGGCTGGTCTGCGTGAAGGCCTTGTGGCACACCTGGCATTTGTGGGGCCTCGTGCCCTGGTGGGTGAGCATGTGGGTGTGCAGGTGGCTGAGCTGCTTGAAGAGCTTCCCGCAGCGGGTGCAGGCGTGCGGCTTGATCCCGCTGTGGCCCAGGATGTGAGTCACCAGGTTGTACTTGGAGGTGTAGGACTTCTCGCAGTTGGGGCACTGCCAGCGCTTCTGCGCCCCGCCCACGTCCACGTAGTAGCTGTCGTCGATCTGGACGTTCACGTCCACCCTCTCCACCTTCTGCTTGGTCTCCTCGCTCTCCTGGAGCTCAGCCTTTCGCGGCAGCAGCGGGTCTGCGGGCTGCTTGGGCATGAAGGCGTGCCGGCTGAAGGGGAAGGGGGAGGCCGAGGGCATAAAGAAGGGGAACATGAGGCCCGGAGGGACCTTGGGGTAGTATGGGTAGGGCGCGGGCAGGAACGGAGCCGGGGTCGGCTGGGGCCACACGGCACTGGGCTTCACGGGCTCCTGCTTGACGGGTTTGCCCCCCAAGTGCTCCAGGGTGCGGTAGAACTGGAAGCCCACGTTGCACAGGTCGATCATCTGCGAGTCGTACTTGGGGCGCGGGGGCTGCGGGAACAGTAGAGGGAAGTTCGGGGGGCCGTGGGTCTTGCTCTCCTCGGACTGGAGGGCGAGAGTGGCTTCTTCAGAGGGGTGGTTATAGGGCATCTTGGTGGGCACGCTCTTCCGCTTCCGAGACCCTCCTCCTTCAAAGACTCCCGAGAATCCGTCAAGGTCTCCTGGAGGGGGTTCATAGCGGAACTGGGAAAAGGGCCCCCGGAGAGCTTCTGGGAAGGGGTGTCTTTGGGGAGCTTTCCCTCGGGAAGCCACTGGCTGCAGGCAGTGGGGAAAGGAGGGGGACCTCTTCACACCCAAACTGAAATGCACATCCTCATCTTTGATCATCTTCATTTCCTTCTGCATCCTTGGCAATTTTCCTTTAAAGAGAAATAAACTCATTGTTTAAAAAGATCCTTTTTTCCATTAAGGGTTTTGGCTAGATGTCAGTGCTAATGTATGAAGAATAACACTTGCTTAACACGGATCTTCATTTATCCTAGGGCTACTCAAAATGCTCACTTTTTTCCCCCTTTGCTAACCTGGTTACAATTGTGGGGAGCACTGGCCCCCTGGAGCGGGACCCTGGGGCTCCCTCCAGGGGAGTAAACCCTCCGCGGAGGAACCATAGCTGGGGGCTGTGGGAGGCGACTAGGTTGGGAAGAAGAACCGGGGGAAGCCATCGAGCTATTGTCCCCACTTAAGCGAGGGTACCGTGGCCCACAGAGGTGAAGCGGCAAATGCTCAAGTCCCGCAGCTACTCAGCGCAGGAGTCAGAGCTGAAACAGGTCCTGCTGCAGCTCTTCAGCCTGAGGTGGAATTACATACACCAATGGTAACTTAAACATGTTTCAGGGTGGTTCCTTCTCTAAGGGACCCAGTCAGTGATTTCCACCGCCTCTCTCTGTCTGGGGGCCTTGCTGCTGGGACCAGGGGTTACTCAAGGCCCCACGGGACAGGGGCCTTGAACAATTAACTCAGACCTTGGATTTTCTGAGTATCCGCCCCAAGCAAGGTGCGCTGCTGGGATGGATCAAGTGGACGAGACCAATGTGATTAAGAAAAGCATATAATGCAACGTGACAAAGTCTTCTTGGCATTTATGCATTTTAATCTAACGCCTGAAGCAGCTTCAGGGGAAAATTCCAGGATTGTGAGTCTGTAAAGTTGCACTTGTGTCTCCCCCTTCACAAGGGTGTCAGAATGAAGTGTGGCTTTTGGTGACGCCCGCAATGCAGACATTTCCTTGCTGAGCCAGGCACTGCCGCTGGGTTGTCTACACCACGTGTGTCTGGAAGAGGCTATGGGGCCATGGCCTAAACCAGGGGACTCCTCCTTTCACACGTCTCCATGCTGTTTTTCTGTCCTCCTCACATGGATACTGGTGGGAAGATCTAACTGGCTGACTCCGCAATTCTAGTGAGAGCCATTTCTACCTAAATCTCTTGAATTTTAAAGGGATTGGTCATTTTTGCTCATTAGAGGATTCCTCAGAGCCAGTCGCCCTGGCCAGGTGTAAGGCCTGGCCTTGGGTCACTGGCGACAGGGCTGGGATGGGTCCTGGGTTGACTCAGGGCCTTGGCCCTCCTTGGACAGGGCTACATGCTGAGCAGCACAGGTTGAGGGGCCCAGGGGTGAGAAGGCAACAACCTCCAGTGGCTTTCTGTTGTCCTTGATAAGGTAAATATGATTTTGACAAGTACCTGGGTATTCCCCAATCACTTGTCTGTGTTTATGAGATGTCTGAGAACTGCAGCACAATTTTTTAAAATGGACCTTTTCCATATTGGATTACCAGTTCCAAACACAGAGGATCCAAATGAGGGGAAAATTATGGGCCCTTATTTTATGAATACTTAGGCATTATTTAAAATTGTTATATAAAAGTGTTAGAGAACTAAAAAATAATATCCACTAATCTTTGTGTTATGTGAGTGGGAAGATAGCCCCATATTGTCTTCTTTCCTCATGTTTCAGGCTTAGGAATGAAGAGGGCGAGCTTGCGTGTCTGGCCATGGGGAGACCCAGCCCTGTGTCTTGCCCCTCTTCTGCGGCTCCTTTCTGACACTATTAGCTAAATGCTAGGTCTTCTGCCACTGCTCCTCAAACCCCAGGCATTTGTAGGAAGGGGTAAGTACAGACGGAGGACGGAATGTCTAGCTTCATGAGACTGGGAGAGTGTGGGAAGGGTGTAAAACTAAGGGGAGAGGTGCCGTCCCTCTCAAAAGGACCAAGATGGCATGGAGACGGCAGAAGCTCTCAGGTGGTTTTTCATGTTTCCTGAACTGTCACTTGGCTTGCAATTCGGCGAGTCATGAGCCCTAGATTCTGTAGAGTTACAGAAGCTCTGGCTTGCTCCAAGGATTTGTTGCGTCTATAGAAATAATTCACTTTCAGACTAGGCTAACGTGTCCTATTAAAATGGACGGAAAATGGCAGCTCCTTTCTCTGGAATTTCATTTTGGCCACAGTTGGTTTTATACCCTCTTTGGAGATAAGATCCTACTTGTAAAACAGCTGCTCAGACTGGAGAGAACTCTTCCAAGCTACTAGTGACATGGCAAACCAAAGCAAGAGCCCATCCAAGTGCAAATGGGCTCTGTCTGCTTTCTGATGTGGTTAAAAGAGTCAGTTGATTTTTACTTTATATCGGAGAGCTTGACTGGAAAATTAAGCTCTCCAATATAAATGTCAGGACATGGGCCAAAACTTATTGATTTTTTTTTGTATTTTATTTTTAAGAAGGTATTTGAAGAAAATGTGTGGCTAATGATGTCTGGTGTCTTTGTTTTATGTTTTATATCTTATACTGGAAAGCTACTTAATTGGAAAGGAATGTTATGGCTAATTTTGAAACTGAAGGTATTTCAGTTTATACACATTATTGTCACCTTTGTTTAGCTTTTTTGTTTTTAGTTGTGGCATAGTCTACTAATTGATTCATCTTAATGTATTAGGAGTGACATTTATAATATATGGTCATTTCAAAAGCATACTTATTTTCAGTGTCTGCATTTTTATTTTATCATCATTGACCTTGTAAAGCAAAGAAACATTGTTTTACTTGACAAGAGGTAAAGTAAACCATTGGGGTGATGAAAGCTTTAAAAGGGGGTGTGTATGTGAAAGTGTAGTAAGCACTTAACAGTGTGGTGCTCTTGAGCAGTAAGAAAGACTGGGCAGGAGAGGATGGCTGAGCAGATGATCAATGGAAAGATGCTGACTGACATCATCTCTGTTTTCCAAGCTGAAACTCTTTTCACCATCAACTGGCATCTGGGCTTCTGCTTGGCAAGTTCAAAACCAAGGCTTTGCCTGCCCAGAGTTAGTCTTGTCACAGCAGTGAATGTGAACCACACTCAAAAAGGCCAGTGGATTAGGCCACGGTGACTTTCTTCATTCAGTGTGGAGATCAGCCTTATAGTTTAAGGATACTCCTCATCCCTTCTCTATGGCTCTATTTCCTATTATGAAGATAATACCTCTGAGCCTTAATAAATAAGAGAAGGCTTTGGTAAGTGGGAACAAAAGGGATTGGGTGGTCCTGTGAGCTATTTCAGTCAGTTTATGGGAAGCTGAAGAACTGCCCCTCATCTAATATCAGATGTCACATTCCCAGGAACAGGAGGACCTGTTTGTCAAACCCAAAGACTCAGACACTGGGACAGTGCTAGGTTAACACTAGCTCTTGCAATTCCTGCTAGACTGTGAGGGCAGGGAGTAGGTTTGTTTTATTCCCTGCTGTGTTTCCAGTCCCGGGCGCAGTGTCTGACACAAAGCTGATGATCAGTAAACTGCTGTGGAATAAGTGAAGGAATGAATGGATCTTGTTTTTAAAGTCTCCATGGAAGTTCATGGACATGGACAACAGTGTGGGAATTGACTGTGGGAGTGGGGGGTGGGATGGGCAGAGAAGGGCAAAGGAGGAAAAATTGGGACAACTCTAACAGAGTAACAGTAAAAAATAGTTAGGGAAAAAAATAAAATATATGATATTATCTTACATTATTTAGACAGCAGGTGACTTTTGGGGATGTCCCTAATCAGATCATGGACACACTCAAATTCTCAGGTAGTTATTGTGGGGAGAATTGGATACACACACTTTGGTGTGTGGCGTTGCTTACCTTTCTCAGTTTCCAAGGGCATCATTCTCTGAATGGACCCTCAGATTCAGGGAAAGCCCCAATTCCTGGCTTCACTAATGCTAGGGAGCTATCCTTAAGGTTCCACAAGGTTCTGCAACCCAGTCATAAAACAGATGCCCAGAAAGTTCAATGGGCAGTAGGAGACAGAAAGACCCCTGGATTCAGAATGTAGAACATAAACCAAGAGTGGTTTATGCATGCTTTCAACCAAAGGAAATGTTTGGGAAGTTAGTAGCAGTTTATCCTTTGTACTAATGTGGGGGTGGGGAGGGAGAGGCCTTAGATAGAATAATCATACATTTTTATTGCTATGTTCAGAGAATGTTTTAAGTTCCTGGCGTTCTTCCATGTGTATTCAGTCACCAAACCCAATAGGCTCTACGTCAGCAACAAATTGTTTGGGGAGGAAAATATTGTGTTGATCTGTGTTAGAGGAATCTGAGATTCAGGATGTCTTCTTTTAAAAAAAAATGTTTAATTGTATTTTTTAACAGGCATTATCTATAAGAGTTACTTTTGAGGAAATGGTGATTGAATGCATTTTAAAAACAAAAACAAAATCTCCTCTTTGAACCATAATGACCAAATAGAAATGCAGGGCCTAGCCAATATGAAACTAAATTTAGGTTGTAGGGGGGGAGAAATGCTTCTAATAATGCCCTTTAATTGGGAATTCACCTATTGTACCAAAATATAAATATTCCCCAGATAAAATTTCTGGTATTTTGTGGTTCTCATTCAAATGGAAGGTCATTCCAGTAAATGTTAGTAGAAGAGTCATTGTGAGTCAGCGTGCCAGGGGTAGACCTATTTATCTCCTTTCTGTTCATCCTGAAATTCATGGGAAAAAAAATTCTCTCACGTTCTTTGTTCCTGCAATATTTCCAGGGTTTCATTGGAAAATGTTACATTTTACTATTACAGACACTGGCTTCCCTTTTAATTTGGGAGAATAGCATGTCACTTATGTGGGCTACTCTCAACAAAAATGGAAGCAAGGAAAAGGCTAGAGTTGAGGAAAAGTTTAAGAATAAGAGGCAATGCTGAGAGCAGCAAAGGTTGGGGAGTTGTGGTAGGATAACAGGGAGGCAAGATGGGAAATATATAGATGGCCTGCCAACCTCTCTGTTCAGACAAAGGGATCTTGTTGTGAGACTCCTCTGATGTGAGGTTTTATTGGACCACCTGGTTCTTTCTGAATTTGTAATAACAGAAGGAGATTTTGAGTCTTA